TACTGCATGGGATACGATAAAAAAAACTTTTCGGGGAAGTTTCCGTATTCGAAATTTTATGACGGCGCACGTACAACGGCATTATGTAAAAAATAAATAGATAAACAATTCGAAATTCGTCTAATCCCGTGTGATGGATAACTCTTATGTTCTGTCAACTGTGGTCAATAGAATACCATGCAGATCCGTTTTTTTGTGATGAAACTGTGTGTTTTGGGATATCTCTTTGGCCAGCTGAACTCCAAACGGATCTTAAAACCTTTTTCCTTTGACGGTAGTCACTTTCGATAGTGACGGATCACCATTGTGGTCGATACGCGCCAAACTAGGTCATCGCGGGCTATGTGTTCACGAAGGTTGCGGTGCGGCACTAATGCCGCAGGCGATGGCCGCAGTGGCATCTTCTGACCACACACCACTAGGGAGCATGAGAGAAGATGGATGAAACTCTGGGTAGACTATCGATTATCTCCTTTCATCCATACCACATTTTCAAAAACTTGGTGATTCCGGATTGGAGACAAGTGTGAGGGGACTCCTCGAAGGAAGCAATGTCATCGTCGCATGGTCTAATGATGGTGTAATCGTTTTGTTTCAGTGTTGTCATCATGCGATGGTCGACTTGCCACTGGAACATGTGCCAAGACTATACCACAAACTCGTACTGCCACTTGTAACTGTATCACCGATGCTCGGGATGAACTCAAGAAGAGAATCGCCTCCATCTCCACCGTATTCAACGATGTACTTCAGTTATTCTTTCTTTTTTCTTTGATAATTCTGTGGAACAGAACAGTGATGCCGAATTATACAAAAATCTCTTGTCTCTTTCATAGCATCGGCAAAAGTCGCTTCATAGTACTATGGAACAGTTTCGATGTTACTCTTATTTACTCTAAGGATTTCAGCTTCTCTCTGGTCGTTCTGGAATCGCTATCGGATCTGCGAACAAGGTCGACACCTGTGTTTCTAGTATCAAGAAGCAGATGTAAGTGAATGAAGTAGACAGTTGGGTTCCACGAAAACCGGTTGAACGAAAAAATAAGCATTGACTTAAGTGGATTCACCTCACTTACAGCGTACACCCTATATCAGGTCCAATTGATTGACAACCCCCAAACCGTGTAAACGAATTTCCCGACCTAGGCCGTTACCAAATGATAGGTAGTGAAGCTGGTATCATTAGAGCCATCTGAACAGTCGAGACGAGCTGTTTTTCAGTCAAGGGTCTTGATTTGGAAAAAATCAGGGCGCATGCTAGGGACCATGATTAAGGCCCCACAAGTACGTTTATTACTTCTGAAGCGATTAGGCACAGCAACGTAGCTAAAATATGGGGTAGCTTCTATTGTTGTCCCTGAGTCTTCTTGAAACAAAGAGGACTTTCCGGTACTTTTTGTAATAAGTCGTTGCCCTTGGGAGCATCCAGAGTTCCTTTTGAGAACCATGAAGGATCATCATGATGATACGCTTCGTAGTTTATGGGCGACCCCATCAGAGCGTCCAAAGCTCTTGCAACCATATTGAGAGGGCATGAACTGCAATTTTTTATTTGTTTATTTTGTTATTTATTGCAGGGTAACACCCGTTAACGATTGGGTTGCCGTTATTGACTCAGCTTTGACCACCTGTATCAAGAAGAAGCCAGCTGGACAAAATCTTGGCATGGAATCGATGCTCAATGTAGGGTGCCGAAAGGTAAATCTTCAAAACACCTTCCATTCTTACACCTACATCATTGTAAGCTGCTATCCCTTGCAGCATATTTGAGCGATTTCCAGCAGTATCAAGCAAAATCCCAATAGTCTTGAATCTCAGAATGTAATCTGACTTGTCAGAGAGATGATTCTTCTCCATTTACTTTGAACTTCGTAATGCTTTCTGGGTAGCGGAACTTCTCCCCGAATCCCCACGGCCTGCGGAAATGCGGCGACTCTCCGTGTCCTTCCACTGGGAATTCGAAGCTTTCCCTATACAAGGCGCTATCGCACGCGGCGAGCACGACACGCCGTTCGGGGAGAAAATACCAGACCCCCAAAATACAATCCCTTTCTCGTTCTTAAGGTCGAAGAGGTTATAACGACTAAAGAACTGCTTCACAAGATTTCAGTCGCTCAGAGCATGTGTATCAGCTATGTACCACCAGCCAATTGCATTTACCTCAAATGCGCTCCATTCTGAAGGACATCAGCCTCCACAAGGCGGCTAAAGTGATTGTTGAACCCTTACTGCGCTACATCAGGGTTGCCGTCTTTTGACCCAATTTGGCCCATATTGCCTTATTAGGAACTTGAAGTTCTCACCCATACGAAATTCCCTAAATTCCCCTCTACTCTACCTCTTGGGGTGTTTGCACTGTACCTCCCAAGGTATAGCACCACCCAGAGGATCAGCCGTTACTGTATGCCATGGTGATATTAGATGAGATGCCTTTGAAGTAGGAACTCACTGAGCCTCTAAGATTGATATCAGAGCGTATTGGTGACTAACGTTCCGGCTGAATCGCGTCCCTCGGAGCCTGCAAAGTCGAATGAATAGATGAGATGCCTTCGGCTGACTTACCTCTTGGACACTTCTCTACTGTCTCCTCACCTACTTCTCAAAAATTTACTCACAAACCTTTACAATGAATGACTCTTTAGGTATTCGCTGATACAACTGGAGCCGCTGCGGATCAGCTCAAGACAGGATTCGATTTCGTTAATAATCTCATCGACGCGATGGTTGAGCGTAGTGGACGTTTCTGCGGTACTCACTGCCTCCAAGCATAAACACATCTATGTCCTCTGATTTCTTTATAATTTCTCTTAACTTAATTGTGAACTACAACGTTGCGTCTCCTTTTGCGTGTTATTTATTTCGTTTTGTATATTTTCTTTATATCGTGTCGAAATATTTACACAAATTAGAACGAGACTCATCAACAATTAGGTTTTATCATAATAAAGTTTTAGAAAATTGTGTGACCTGAAGTCGCGAGTTGGAAAAAATGGAGTCAGAAGTATGAGAACTAATTGCTTTTAAACCCGATCACGATTGAAAGTTAACAAGTTCTTTCGCAGTATTTCTTCATTGAGTGGGAATGGGAGATTCCGTTCGATCGGAGCTACATATCTTGCCTTCCAAGAAGAGAGCAAGCGAGCGAAAATGTATAACCTAATAATCCTCGAACTAGAAATGCAGTTTCCGATTCTGCATCTGACCAAGTGCTTATGGGGAAATTTCCTGCCACTCGACCCGGGGCCATGCGAGTTTTTTGAAAAATCTTTTGGGACCTTCTGCCTAAACCATATACGAGAGATGCACAATAGCCTTAAAGGCACAGTTCGCGATAAGAGCGGTCTCTATGATTTTCCTGTTGTGTGAATTCGAGGCTCCCTCTTATACTGAATCTGCCTTTATGCGGTCGAAAAATGTACTGAATAGGGCACAATAAGGGGCCAGAGATTGTAACGTGTGGATGCCACTCCCATAGAGGACGAGTTTCTAACGGCTCTAGGCTGCACCATTAACAAGGGAACCAATGTAGGAAGTTCAAACTACTTGGCATAACCCATGGCGACAGAAAAAGGCAGTTTTGGACAATTTCGGCTCGACAAAGTCGACTTTTTGCGCAATGGGAGCAAGTGAAATCTCGTCAAAACACCCTTTACATGCCAATCCTATCACGGTGATTGAGTACAACCTCCATTCCACTGCTTTGAAAAAGCCTTGAAGAGGTGGATTTTCTCGCTTTCTTCGCCACTGATGTATGTACTCTTCTTTATCGACAACCATTTTTCAATACAAAAAAGGTGCCTCAAAATTATCGTGAACTGTGGCTTCAATATAACAATTTTGTCGATATTCCGCTGCTGCTGAGACTTCAGAGTTCGTTCTCGACTCGAAGCACCTCGAACAGCTTCTGTTATACAAGCTGATGAACCAAGACTAGCGCAGGCCATGCTGCAAGACGTATATATGGTGGAACGTGGACTTTATTGTCTTTTTTGGTACAGCAATGTTTGTTTCCGCAACAACCGAAACGAAGATTTCGATCTGACGACAAACCGCGACCTGGTCGACCGGTCAAAGTGGATGAAGAGCGCCTCCGACAGGTGACTGCAGAAGATCCTCGCATGATACTGGCGATTTTATAGAAAAACTCCGGTGTCATCACGACGCCTTAGCTAGCCATCTTCATCGCCTTGGAAAGTGATGGGAATATAGGGCATGGATACCTCATCATTTCACATAGTGGTGAAGTGAGAGGGAACATACTCTCCTGATAGTCTTG